AGTCCCAGCTACTCAGGAGGCTGAGGTGGGAGTATCACTTGAGTCACACTCCAGCCTGGGTGATAGAGCAAGACCCTGTCTTAAAAAAATCTATATAAATCCTATGGAAATGTTTCACTTTCTAGGATTCCCCTGCTAAAAATGTCCAAGATGCTCTGAAAAGACAGACATGTTGATTACAGATACAGAAATCATCTGAAAGAGGCTTGTCTATCAGCCCATGAATGAGCAGTTACACACATAATAACACATTCCACTGAAATGCCCTTGTATCACTCCTATTAATGACCATCACTGGAATCTAGTTATGTGAGATGCAGATATGTTTAAAAAGAATTCATTCTGTTCTTTGGCAGATTTGCAGCAACAGTTTTTTTCAGCCTATCAACAGCTCTGTACAGACAGTAGTTAAATGGAAAGTCTTTTCTTTCCAGTATAATAAATTTGACATATATATGTACATATAATTATGTAGTTCTTCTTCAGAAGGGTAAAGAAAAATAAATGATTCCGATAAGCTACTATAAGTTCTCACACTTCATCTCTGTGACACGTTTATAAAGCAAAGAGCTGCATAAATGCCTAAAACATGAAATAGAAGAGGTATCTAGGGCTTTCTTCATTTCCCAGCTTGTCTCAATAGAGAATTTCTCTAAATCAAAAGCAACACATTGATTTCTACAGAGGGCAAATGGATAATAATGACCTGAAGACATATAGAGCTTTCCCTCTATTCAGATCATCACCTACACACAAAAAATTGCCCATATCAGAATACAGAAGACTCCATATATTTTTAAAAACAATTTCAAACATGAATGAACCTTGACAGGATGAAGGCATTTTGCAGGTTCTCCCATAATAGCCATCGTGTGTTGAAATGCATTTTTAAACAACTCTCTGGTTAGAAACATTTGACATGATTATAGATTTTAACAATCACAACAGCATCATCATATTTTTTAAGAGAAACTACATGTATAAGACAGCACTCAGTCTATAGACAATGCTTCATAGACAACGATCTCACAGTCTGTTCCATCCTTTTGCTGTCTTCACCCCACTCATGACCTGAATCCTAGGCCTCCACACTGGAAACCATTGCTATAGGTTAGAAAAGGGCTAGGAGTGGAATAGATGGAAATGACCATTAGTTACTTTCTTATCCAGTACTCCGAAGTTTTATTCTCTTTTAAAGGGTAAAGAGCAGCATTTGATAACTCAGTGGGCTTATGATTAAACAGATGCACAGCTGCTCAAAGAGACAGTGATGAGGGAGAGAAGGAAGGAGATGAAGGCAGGAAGGGAATTAGGGAAAAGGGGATGGAGAGAGGGAGGGAGAAAAAGAGAAAGAAAGAGAAGGTGATTGATGGACCTTTGATGTAACTATCCAGAATAATATTATCAGGAGATTTATACAGAAGCCATTTAAATTTCCATATATATTCCAAAAGGCGTGTAATACACCTAACCTACAGAACATCACAGCTTAGCTTAGCCTTAGTTCTGTAAGGCTCCCAAAGGTCTTAATCTGGCAGTGGCAAATGCACCCTGGACAAGCAAATATAACAGAAGTTAAAACTGCACATCTGTCCCAAAACAAAACAATGACCAGTCTCCGAAGGGGATTTACAAGAAGGTCCCTGACTTAAAATGGTTCTATTTATGATTTTTCAACTGTACGATAGCATGAAAGTGATTTGCATTCAGCAGAAACTGTACTTTGAGTACCCATAAACCACTGTTTTTGACTTTCAGTATAGTAGTCAACAAATTACATGAGATATTCATCATTTTAATAAAATAGGCTTTGTGTTAGATGATGTCGTCCCACTGTAAGCTAATGTAAGTGTTCTGAGCATGTTTAAGGGAGGCTAAGCTAAGCTATAATGTTCTGTAGGTTAGGTGTATTACATGCATTTTTCACTTATGATATTTTCAACTTCTGAAGAGCTTTTCAGGATATAACCTCGCCCCAAGTGGAGGACCACCTGTACTATCATGTTCTAAAACATATTGTTATGCCATCTAAGCAGAGATGCCAAAGAGGGTGGCTGCAAATCCACTGGCTGCCTTTAGCTGACTGCCCACCTCCAGTGTGTTATTAGAGGCCAGACAGCAAAGAGACAGTTTCTTGGAGAGAAGTGCAGGTGGACCTAGAATCCTGCCTGCCTCCCAAGCTTGCCCTCACTTCAAGCCTAGCAAGGGTGGCTTCAGGGATACCAGATGTCCCTGGGATATGGGACACCATAGACTGGTGTCTGACTGTTCCTGGAGACTGTGAGGCAAAAGGCTGGGTATAGCCCTATAGGGCTGCAATCGGGAAGTGACCACACTGCCAACAGGCAAATGGGGGTCGTACTAGATAGATCCAGCTTGGGATTGTCTCAGAGGCCACCAAGAACTATCAGGAAGAGGAAGGAATTGCCACTGGCCAGCTAGTGGAGACGCATTTGTCTGCAGCAAGAACACCTCAAGTCAGAGATTTCTGGGGATGGAAGCTCTCCAAAAGACCAGTGCCAAGTACCCAGAGAGAAAGTCAGCATTAGAAACCAGGCAAGCCCAGTGCATGACACTATGATCAAAGCAGACCTTTCCTGCCAAGCTTTCTCTTCTGTCTCCTTCCCACAGCACCTGAGAGTGGCAGACTCTCTGGGTACCAAGTAGGGTGTGAGGAACCCGGCAGAACAAGCAAGAAACAGCTTCCCAGATATCCCTCCCTCCAGCTCTACCCCAGACAAGTTAATTGAATTAGCTTCGAGTTCGCCTATTATACAGGTTTGGGCATTTTAATTACTGAAATGAGATCTGTATGACTTGAAATGTCTGTGGGGTATTTCACTCTCGGAATACGAGAAAGGTCATGGGACCGGTTCTAATTTAAGCCAAGGGGCGGAGGAGTATCAGCCTCACAGAGCAGTCTCAACAGTCCTTGGTTAAGTGGGTAGAGGGTTAAATTATTTTCTGTTGGCCTTCAAGGTGTATCTGTAACAGCAGAATTTCAAGCTTCTAATGGCCAAAGCAAAAGATATGAACTGGACAGGTCTTCAAAGAAAAAAAGAGCTCCAGTCTGAAATTTGCTGCAACATTTACACAGAATGCTCATCAGCGTTCTAAAACCCAGCAGAATCTCTTCATCATATGACTTCTAAATGAACATATATTTTGGCATCAATATGTTTAGCATTGACATAATAGTCATATTTAAGAAAAAAAGGAGTAAAGCAGATTCTAGTCCTATAGACAAAGAGATTACGGTCAATGAAGAGGCTACATAAGATTATTAAGCCAGCCACTGGCAAACTAAGCCTCAAGGTTGTCAGCGCAGAAAATATCTCAGACAGTTCCTCAGAACTGGAAGGCAATCTCTGCTGTAATGATTTACAAATAAACTTAATACAAATAAAATAAATAAATTATTACAGGAATAAGAAGGAAAAAGAAATAACACGGGCAGATCAAGAGTAACCAAATCCGCAGAGGAACGGAGGGGAAGACTTTTAGACAACGGTGAAAAGGTGATTTTATTTACTGGCAAATGCTATTTACAAAATAAGTAAAAGCAGCTTGAGTGGTTGGTCAATACCAATCCAGATACGGCACAGAAATAGTGTAATGGAAGTGAAGGGATGCAAGGATGGGAAAAGGCAGAGAGTCATGTTGTAGGATGCTGATATTAGGGAAGTGCAGGACACAGAGGTGTCATGTGTGTTCTGAGAAGGAAGCAGGCTTCCCTTACCAAGACAAGAAAAATGTGAAGCTTGGATCAGCGTTTTAACTATAGCCAAAGAGGGTAGGAAATGTCAAAAACAAATAGTTGGTCAAAAGTAGTAGTAGTTCGGTTACAAAGAGAGAGATGAAGACTTCAAATTATTCTCAGCAATATAACATAGAAGTCGTAGTTTTCAAAGGTCATTAGAAGTGGTAAATTAAAAAACAAGTTTCCTTGTCTTTAAAGGGCAAAAAAAATGTTTTAAGACAAATGAACATGAAATTGTTGGAAAACACTACTGAAAGGGCACTGGAAAGATAGCAAAATTCTCAAAATGTAGGATCCTAGGTCGAGAAAAATAATGAAGATAAAATAAAGCCATCAGTTAAGTCAATCTTAAAAGATTCTTCACATAAGTCGCAGAGCAAATGAAAACAAAACATTTCAACACTGAAAAGCCTCACTGTTTTGTACTCTTGGGAAAAAGTGGAGTAGGAATATCAGTCTTGAGGAGACTTGGATTTCCATTCAGAATCGTGGTGTGTTAAATATTGGAAGGTACCTTGGTGTATTTCCTCTCTCCTTTATTTTTTACTAACAGATAAGGAAACCGAGACCAAAAGAAGCAACATAACTTTTTGCACAACTTGTGACAATGTGGGCTCTAAGAATTAGCCTCCAGAATCCTGTAACTGCCTTTTTCTACATGGTCATTCACCTTCACTGCTTAAGATTATACAGGGCCTGGCACAGTGGCTCCTGTGTGTAATCCCAGCACTTTGGGAGGCTGAGGCAGAAGGATCACTTGAGTCCAGGAGTTCAAGACCAGCCTGGGCAACATAGTGAGACTCCATCTATACCCCCCCCAAAAAAGGTTCTATGACTATATATATAATTGTCTTCTTCTATAGTACATACAAAAATATAAGGACCAAGCAGTGGAATTTTGAGATTAAACAGTCAAGTTTGTTTGCAAAAGATACACAGTATGAATAATAAACACCTTTCGGTTGGCCAGAGCACATAATAATTACAAAACAAACTATATAAAAACTATATGGTTCTAGGGATGGAAAGTACTTTAATATGCCTCATTTCAGATGAAGCAAAACCAGAAACATAAGGTTCTCTTTAGAGACCTGTGAAACACATGTTCATTACAACAAAGCAGTTAGTTTGAATACTAATAGTACAAGCCACCACTAGGAAGCAAAATAAAAGATTAGAGGCAATAGCAAGCATGCACTTTTAGATCACAATTTCTTTGCAAATACATGGAAACACATACCCATTTTTCCACATCAACTTGCTGTGGAAAGAAAAAGCCAAAATAAATAACAAACAAACAAATACCTAGCAATGTTTCAATGACTATCATTTAAATGAATTGATATCAATTTGGTCCTTGCACCACAATCTCTTTCCAATTCTAAAGCATAAAAAATTGTATTCAAGTTTTTAATTAACAACATTTAATCTCACCAAACAAAAAGAACTAAGTTAATTTAGCAATCAGAACTCTAAAAGACATTAGGCTGGAAATGCATCAGGTACATGAAATAATGAAAATCCAATATATTTAAAAGCGAACATGAACATTTCCAATTCTCAAATGTAATAGGCCTTCTGATTTAAGAACTACGACTCTCCCCTAATTATAAAAACTGATTTAATTAAAAAGACCAATTTAGAGATATAGTGTCTAACTGCAATTTCTCTCGTGACACTTAAAGTAAAATTTCTCTTACTCTAATCTTTCTAGCATTTCATACAATTTCATAATATAAAGGCATGCCTTAACAAATAGTTCTGAAGTTATACGGGAATCAAATTATTTTTTAAAATTGTATTTATAAATGAATCTTAGTCTCTTAATCATTATGTGGCTCTTTAAAATTTAAGTGACTATAATCATACCCACATTGTAAATAGAACAAACAAAAAAGTCATTTGTCAACCAAGACTATCTTCTACAACACCCTAGGATTCCTTGCAAATAAATCAGAATAAAAAATTTCAACATTGAGGGACATACTCAGTCTCAAAGGTAAGTTTCCTTAATTCACCTCCCATCTATAGAATGTCCTGTGGGAACTGTGGTTTGCTTCACATCCTTCATGTATGAAAGTTTCTTTGTAATTTTTTTTTTCTTAGAAAACTCATTAATTAGGTAAGAAGCTAATGCTACTTAGGCAGAAATCTTGGGCTATCAGCTAGGAATCTCCAATGCCTTGGTAAACAAGCTTTTGGGAAGCAATGTGCATAAAAAGCATCATACAGAGTGATTCTTTTAAAAACGTTATGAAGTGGTATTTAAAAAATCAACTTAAATATACAGGTAGAATTCTATGAAGCCCTAATGAAATTCAATAGTTTACTTTTAACACAGCATTTTGGCTTATTTTGTAATTTACTTAGTCTTCAGAAAAACCTGTTCTAAACTTACTTCCTCCTTTGCATTTTACAAACACACTGTTGTTATTTAAGAAAAACACTTGACTGAACAGAAAGGCCTGATTTTCACTATACATTTTTCAAGATATTTTGTTGTTATAGCAAGTTGAAGATTTCCTCTCACACATTAACTTACTGGAGTGATGAATCCATTTCTTTAGATCCTGGGGCAAAGGGAAGCAAAAGAGGCATGTCCAGCATAGTGCAATTGTTTTGTGCACTTTTCTACCTCTAAAAGGGCAAATTTTTATATTTATTCTCTCCCCTCAAAAAATCTAAAAAAATTAAATGACTTCCTTTTCACATTTATCAGGAAAACACAATATGCCATATTTTTAGTGCTATCAATGATTATCAAAAACATTGTATTTTGCCATCATCAGGTTCACTTCCGCATGTCAGTCATTCACACATACATACATACACACACACACCCCCCCACACACACACTCCCGTCAGTGCAAAGATAAAGTTATGGGATTTTTCCAGAAGAAAGAATTTATAATCAAGAGTCATAGTTACTAATGATAGTAACAGGAGTTCTTTAATGTTCTATATTACAAAAGACACAGTTCTTCAAGGAGCAAGAATTAGGAGCAATAATGTAACAAACAGAATATCCAAATACCCAAAGAAAAGCTTAGCAACAGCATTGCTGGGAATGAATTATCAGCTAGACACACAAGACAAGACAAATGGTCCACAGGGTTAAAAGACTAACATACAATAAAACTGTAATTATGCATAAGCAATGCAGAACGATTTCATGACACGTCTCTTGTTCTTGTTAACAGGAATCATTTAAATTCCTGCAAATGGTGAAAAGAATGATTCAAATGGAGCTAATCAAGAAAAGGAAATATAAAATTCACAGTAAACTTAACCAATTTTAGAATTTAAGCAGTTACAAATCCATAAAACATATAAGAGAGAGGAACATTTTCTCCAATAACTTATCCAAGTATGTGGAATATTAAAAATATATATATGGATTTTATTAAAGAAAATGACTATTTTAATATCTGCAGGAAATTACATTAAATGTCTTATCATATTAACACAAATAAAAGGAGCAATTTCATTTCAAAATTTCAAAATAAAAACAAAATTCCCCTTAAAAGAAACAATAGTTATTTAAACACCAACTTGATTTAGCAGAGAGGACATAAGCATCTAACACAAAATAATTATTTTTAAATTATATCACTATACGAAAGGCAGATAATCCAAACAACATCTCTATTTTTGCATTCTTTTTTTTTTTTTTTTTTTTCTTGAGACGGAGTTGCACTCTGTCACCCAGGCTGGAATGCAGTGGTGGGATCTTGGCTCACTGCAACCTCCGCCTCCTGGGTTCAAGCAATTCTCCTGTCTCAGTTTCCTGGGTAGCTGGGATTATAGGTGCCCGCCACCACACCTGGCTAATTTGTGTATTTTTAGTAGAGATGGGGTTTCACCATGTTGGCCAGGCTGACCTCGAACTCCTGACCTCAAGTGATCCACCCATCATGTGCATTCATATTTTAATTACAAATTTAGGGCACATAAACATGAGCTCTTCTATAAACTTTTTTTTAAAAAAGTTTGGTTGCTTCTTTCGAATTGATTAACTTTATTCTGCTGTTTAAGATGGATAATTCTGTTGAGTTAAAGCAGTTACCGTGTGGCAGGCTTTGAGCCATACATTTTACATGTAATCTTATCATCTGCATTTTACATACTAGAAAACAAATGACATATAAAGGTATTACACGCAAATCTTCAACAACAAAATAAAATGACACAAAGCTACTAAAGCTACTAAATTTTCTAGAAAGTTCATTATTATGCCTTTCCCCTGAAAGTTGCAACACACCTGGTATTGACTTTTTATGTAAGATGGTAGGGAGGGAGTTAAGAGTCGTCTCCTCACCCACCCTCATGTATCTATCCAAATGACCATTTATCAAAAAATACATCTTTTCCCCATTAGCACTGCGTCATCACTTACTAATGTGTTCAGAGACAAATGTGTGGATCTACTGATGAACTCTACCCTGGTCTATTTTTCTGTCTCTGTCCTAATACCCAACAGTCTTATTGCAACATTAAAATAAGTCTTGATATCCAGGAGTCAAAGACTCTAACCTTGTTCTTTTCTTCAAAGTTGTATTTGATAATCTTGCTCTTCTTCATTGAGAACTGGCTTTTTCAACTTTCACGCACACAAGAAAACCTGCTGGGATTCTGATTGCGATTACATTGATCTACCCAACCAATTGGAAGAGAACTGTCATCTTTGTAATACTGAGCCTCCCAATATATGAACAGGGTATATTTACCCCTTTTTTAAGGTCATCTTTATTTTTCTCAAAATGTTTTTCAATTTTGTGTGTAAAGGTTTGCACATCTTTCATTAGAGTTATTCCTAGGTGTGTGTTGTTTTATTATACTAATATAAGTGAAATCACTTATTTTTATTTTGTAATTGCTTTTTACTAGAATAAAAAATATAACGGAATTATTTATAATGAGCTGTGACTTTGCTAAGCTCAGTTTTCCCAACTTTATTCAACATGGCCTTCAAAGAATTCAAGATTTCACCAGTTTTGCATTTGATAATTTCTATCAGTTTAAGTAACTTTTCTTACATGCCAACTTACTAATATTGCAATGAATAGGCATTTAATATTTAAAAATGTTTTTATAGTATCTGTTAAAATAAATACATTTTTCTTTTTTTCTCTTAATAAGGTAAATGACAGTAATTGGTTTTGAATCCCAACTTGGTTGTAATAGGCTATTGAGTTGATCTGTCAATGGGATGGATTTGCTAACATTTCATGGAGGATTTCTACACCTATGGTCCCTGATGCATATTAGTCTATACCTTTATTATTATTTTTTTTTGCAAGGTCTTTGTCATAGTTTAGGATCAGGGTTATGTTGACCTCATAACATCGGCTGGGAAGTATTATGAAAGAGTTTAAGATTGGTATTATTCTTTCCTTATATGTTTGGTGGAATTAACCAGTGAGGCCATCTGGGCCTGGACTTCTTTTTGAGAAGGCTTTAATGATCAATTCATTTTATTTAATAAATGTAATTTCCCACTTCTAGTGTTAGGGTTGGTAAACTGTATTTTGCTAACACTATATTGTTTCTAGAAAGTTTTAATCTCTTTGGAGTAAAGCTATTCACAGTATTCTCTTATTATCTTTTCATTGTTTAGAGGTTCTCCAGTGATTTCCTATTTTCATTCCTAATATTGTTAATTTTATATTCTCTCTTTTTTGTATTCAGTCTTTCCAAGGGCTCATCAATCTTATTAGTCGTTTCAAAAAACCAGCTATTAGCTTGGATGATTTATGTTTCTTTCTACTTCATAAATTCTGCTCCTTATTATTTCTTCTATTTCATAAATTCTGGTCTTTATTATTTCTTCTTTCTACATTTTTCAGGTTTAATATTTCTCTTTGTGGTCTTCTTGAGATATTTAGATAATTGATTATTCAGTTCTTCTTATGTATTTAGGGCCAAAAAATTCCCTCTACTCAGTTTTAACTGTATCCACAGTTTTAGCTATGTCTCATGTTTTCCACTTTATCCAATTAAAAATATCTCATCATTTGCCATTGTGATTAACTTGTTGATTCCTAGACTTATAGATTTGCAATTCCTTTTGTTACTTATTTCTTAATTATATGATAAGAAAGGAATACACTCTTATTTCAAACCTCTGAAATTTGCTTATACTTCCTCCATAATCAATTTTGGTAAATGTTCCATCTGCACTTGAAACAAACGTGTACTTTCTCAGCATATGGTGCAGTGTTCTATAAATGTCAATATGTATGTTAATTAATCATGCTGTTC